TCACAGCCTGACAAAACCACACCTGACAGCTTGTGACAGGCAGCCACACTTGTTGTATTAAAAATGGGGTCTATATAGATACCCTTTTTAGATATGAAATGAAACTGATACTATATGTAAACAGACAAACTCAGTGATTGACTCCAGAGTATGAGCATAATAGCAATCTAATTTTGTAAAAAATACTGTTTTCTGTTTTTAGGGAACAGAAATATATTGTAAAGAGTTAAGGGTGAAGGGGATGCTTGCAATGCTATTAGTGCACAGACGTGCTGGTGAATATTTAGTAGCCTACAGATGATAAACACACTCAACAAACATCAACACTCGACATCAAAGAACACAAACAACTTTAATTTTGATATTTTTAATTGTGCATATTATTAGAAAATTCATGTTTGAAAAATGGAAAATGTATTTATCCATGTTATTTAAATGTTTTTATTATTATATTTATATTATTATTTGTAATGATCATTTTAGTTATTTAAATTTTAGTTATTCTATATTATTTAGTTTTACTTCTTCTTATGCTTGTATATTATTATTAAAGGGCACCTATTATGCAAAATCCACTTTTACATGGTGTTTGGACATAAATGTGTGTTGGCAGTGTGTGAACACAACCACCCTACAATGATAAAAATCCACCCACTCCTCATTTTTGAATCCCCATCAAAACAAATCAGTCTCACTAGGCCTGCCGTTTTGATTCTCTAAGCAATATGACATCACATTGCATAAGGCGGGGCCACAACGGCTGATTGACAGCCCTGCATTGCTATAGTTTCCACCCTCAGCGGTTGTAGGCTGTCCTCCATTTTCTCCGCACTCGAGCAGCTGTAACGTCAACAATGTCTCGCAAGCAATCCCGATGCTCTATGTTTGGATGTAAGACTGAACATTAGAGTCTTCATTTTCTCCCAACATCTGAGCCACTGAGGACGAAGCGGATTACTTCTATTTTTCAAGGTAATGCGCCTCAGAATTTACCTAAATACGTTTGTCTGCGCAAATCATTTTACTCCAGACTGCTTTGTGAATGTCATGTTGTTATAGTGCTTAGCGTTTTAACCGTGTGTGTGTGTGCACACATTATCTAAGTATTTTAATTGATCAGCGCTGTGTTGTGAGATTAGTCCATTGAGCCGTACCGATGTCAGGTCAGCGCGGCACGAGCTCTGTAACGGCACGCTGTTTCTTTCCATTTTCAGTGCATTTGGCTTCCCATATGTATGGCTGAAGCACCGGTTCTCTTGCTCTCAGTCATGTTGCTTCTACCGGCTGTTTATTGGTGTAGGTATGCAAAGCAGAGAGATGTATACACTACGCCCTCTGCTGGAGACGGGGCGGGAATATGCAGCTCATTTGCACTTAAAGTGATACACATCAAAACAGCTCTTTTTTAGACACGCCTCAAAAATGACATTTTCCAGATGATATAATAAATGATCTGAGGGGTATTTTGAGCTGAAACTTCACAGACACATTCTGGGGACACCCAAGACCAATACTACATCTTGTAAAAAGGGGCATAATAAGTGCCCTTTAATATTATTGTCCTTGTTGTTAAGTTTTGTGACGCATCACAGCACGGGACGTGTCTGCCTACTTCCAGCTCCACCGAGGGGTCTGCGAAGCCCCTGATGCTGATCCTCTGTGAGGCTGAACCCCAAGAGAACCAGCACCAAACACCAACCAGACAACCGGTTCACACTGGCTCTCAGCACAACAGCGCCGTCCCATGAGAAAGCTGGACTGAACTCCATCTGTCACGCACCGAGTGAATCATTCACTACTGATCTTCACTGTCAGTGAGAGAAATAAAGCAGCGTCTCGCTGTGGCGCAGAGTGGGTGAGAGCGTCGCTCCACCTGACGCCGCGGGTCATTCCCATACAGATGCTGTGGAGGGACAGCACTCATCACCGACACCATCCAATCCAGCCGTCCCGTGAGAAGATGAACACAGAGCCCCTCCGACACCCACTGAGGTGCTTCATCGAGCTCTGCGATGAGTCAAGCTGCTATTTGGTGCTATTTCATTACTTCACGACCTTATTATTATTTGACTTTTTTCTAGATTATATTATTATTTGTTATTCCTAGCATTTAAGTTGGTATTTTTATAGATATTATTTTTAAATTTGTATATTACTATATATTCGATTATTGCTATTGTTATTTTAAATTATTATATATTCTATTACCATCATTATTATTAATTTATTATTGTTATTATATATTACAAATTGTATTATTTTATTATTTAATACTCTGTATTACTGTTATTTAATATTATTATATATTATATTACTATTATTATATATTTTTATGTTTATGTCTGTTGAATTTTATTATTATTATATATTTTATTTATTAGTCTATTATTATCATGAGTCATTTTTGTAAATGTTGTATTATTATTATTATTATTTTTATTATTACAAAGTCGTCACTATTATATTATTATTTGTAATTACAAGCATTTAAATTGTTGTTTTTTTGCTATTAGTGTTTTGTTTCTATATTATTATGTATTCCATTTTTATTACTATTATTATTATTATTATTATTATAATTCGGACGGATAACACGGAACAGACCTGAAAGACACTGACTACGTTTACATGGACATCAGTAATCTAATTAGTTACGTTATTCTAAATAAGACAATATTATGATTATGGTGTTTACATGAGTTGCTTTTAGAATATTCCTCATGTTCCTGTTTTACATGTTATAGTCATAGACAGCTCCGTCCCATGAGAAAGCTGGACTGAACTCCATCTGTCACGCACCGAGTGAATCATTCACTACTGATCTTCACTGTCAGTGAGAGAAATAAAGCAGCGTCTCGCTGTGGCGCAGAGTGGGTGAGAGCGTCGCTCCACCTGACGCCGCGGGTCATTCCCATACAGATGCTGTGGAGGGACAGCACTCATCACCGACACCATCCAATCCAGCCGTCCCGTGAGAAGATGAACACAGAGCCCCTCCGACACCCACTGAGGTGCTTCATCGAGCTCTGCGATGAGTCAAGCTGCTATTTGGTGCTATTTCATTACTTCACGACCTTATTATTATTTGACTTTTTTCTAGATTATATTATTATTTGTTATTCCTAGCATTTAAGTTGGTATTTTTATAGATATTATTTTTAAATTTGTATATTACTATATATTCGATTATTGCTATTGTTATTTTAAATTATTATATATTCTATTACCATCATTATTATTAATTTATTATTGTTATTATATATTACAAATTGTATTATTTTATTATTTAATACTCTGTATTACTGTTATTTAATATTATTATATATTATATTACTATTATTATATATTTTTATGTTTATGTCTGTTGAATTTTATTATTATTATATATTTTATTTATTAGTCTATTATTATCATGAGTCATTTTTGTAAATGTTGTATTATTATTATTATTATTTTTATTATTACAAAGTCGTCACTATTATATTATTATTTGTAATTACAAGCATTTAAATTGTTGTTTTTTTGCTATTAGTGTTTTGTTTCTATATTATTATGTATTCCATTTTTATTACTATTATTATTATTATTATTATTATAATTCGGACGGATAACACGGAACAGACCTGAAAGACACTGACTACGTTTACATGGACATCAGTAATCTAATTAGTTACGTTATTCTAAATAAGACAATATTATGATTATGGTGTTTACATGAGTTGCTTTTAGAATATTCCTCATGTTCCTGTTTTACATGTTATAGTCGTAGACTTTATAAAAACGGTTATAGTACATAGTTCGATTAATGGCACACGTCATTACGTCACCACGCGACGCCATCCGACGTCTCCTCCAGAATTTCACGTATAAACATATAGTTCGTCTTCGTGATGATGCCATGTACAGTTTTGGGTGTTTCATTTTTAATTTTATGAAAGCTTCAAGTGCAGTTAATTATTTGTACGTGCATACAGACGATGGCGGTGTGGAAGCTCTTTTATTTGCCGTCAAACGGTTGAGCACTGCCGTGTGTGTATCCTGTCGCAAAGGCCACTGGCCGCTCGCTGTCCGTGCGTGATGGTCATCGGCAAAAAAACCCCAAAAAACTTCTGTCGGCCCCTTAGGTGCGTCGGCCCACCGGGAAAATGCCCGGTATGCCCGATTACCAATCCAGCCCTGTGTCCATGTAAACGTACTCAGTGACTAATGACCTCAAAATCCATAGGAAGTGCAGCTGTGGATGGTCTAAAGTAACAACACAACGTGGTTTGCGCATCCAACAAGGGAAGGCAAAGTGCAGGGTGATATTTCATATGCAAACTTGCACTGCTTCTGCAGATGAGACAAGGAGGACTCAAAGCCCGACTGAGAACCACAGAGCTGTTGAATCTATTATTGCATATGAGCAGAGAGAGGTGCCGCAGCAGCCATCCCCGTGGGAAGTAAGTACATCAGTAGCAAGACCACGACCCACGACAAACAATGCACTCTGAGTCGATGTAGCAGGGGTATGTTGTTACAAGTGGAGAGTTGAACAAGTAGTCGACCAGGCCATTAGTCAACTGAAGCATCAGGAGATAGTTGGGTGGTGTGGCGGGGTGAATGAGGACACAGACACAGATGATGGATTTTAACAGCAAAAAAACCCCGGAGGGTAATTTATTTAAACAGAGAAGTGATAATACGGTGCTCGGTGAAGGTGCTCTCGGTCCTAGTGGGGATAGTGTGTGTGGTCCTCCGTGAAGTGTGGCGAATGGCCAGGAGCTTAGTCAGTCTCTGTAAGAATGGAGAGAAAACACACATTAGTCTCTCTTCCAGGGAGCATGTTACTCGCCTTGGTGTTTTCCCTCCCAGCTTTAAAGCCGTTGCGAACGAGGTCCAGGTGCGCTGGCCATTATGCTCAGGTGTTCACAGTCGGTGATTAGTGCAGGAGCGGTGTTTCCAGGGCAACACTGATCTGCCCTCGGGATACTCGCCACAGTGGTCACAGCAGGGCACGGAAGGACTGGGGTAGAGACCAGCCCCTAAGCTGTGGTCTAAAGCCTCGAAGAAAGAGAGAAAAGATCTTGTGGTCTCAGAGGTCATCAGAATGGAGGATGAATCTTTGAAGATCAGAGCTGTGAGCCAGCGGCTGCAAGGAAGGTGGACAAATTGGGAGGCAGTCATTCATAAGACCATAACTTGGGCTGATATATGGAAGGTTCCACAGGCTAGACTAAGCTTCCTAATTAGGTCCACATACGACATCCTTCCAAGCCCCCAGAAAATCCAACTCTGGTATGGCTCAGAGACAACCTGCAGTCTATGTGGTGCCCCAAGTCTACAGCACATTTTGACTAGCTGTAAAGCTGCTCTGACCCAAGGAAAAGTGGTGCAAGTGGCACACGTGATCAAGTGCTTCGAAAACTAGCAGAGGTGTTGGAGGAGCGAAGACTCGAAGCCAATAGAGCCAGTCCATCATCCTCCAAATCACAAATATGCTTCTTTAGGCAAGGAGCTGGAGCAGAAAACATCAACCAGAGAGAGTGGTCCATTCTGAAACCTGGATGCGAGTGGCAGATGAGAGTCGATCTCAACCAGCAGTTCAAGTTTCCATCTGAGATAATAACAACCTCTCTGCGTCCAGACATTATCCAGGGGTCCATCTCTGCCAAGACAGTAATCATGGCAGAGCTCACAGCACCGTGGGAAGAGATGATAGAGTCAGTATTCGAGAGGAAAAACGAGAAATATAGCGAACTAATGGCAGTGTGTACCGAAACAGGGTGGAAATCATGCATCTTACCTGTTGAAGTCGGATGCAGAGGCTTCATGGGTAAATCCACCCAGCAGCTGTTGAAGAAGGTTGGAATTACTGGATCGAAGCAAAAGGCAGCACTCAGGGAACTGGCTGAGGAAGCAGAGAAAGCGAGTTTCTGGTTGTGGCTCAGAAGGAATGACCTCAGGTGAGGAAACTAAGGATCATAGGGCCAGCCACAGGGAGCGGTAGGGAGAGGTCTCTTCTGCTGCTCCACCTCCCAGAGATGTTCTGAGATTAATGGGGCGAAACATCTGTGATGGGTAGCTCCCAGCTAATGACCCTTTGGCTGGCCCATTGGCACCGGCGGAGGTGCGACAGGCAGAAATGCCTTGCAGTTCTTAAGGATCTGTGCTCCTATTTATTTATGATCTTTTTTTTTTTTTATATTATGTTACTCCATACTATATTATAATTCTTGATATCATTAAAGATCTTTCCTACAATACCTCAAAGCACAGGGTTTTCCTTCCTTCCAACAATCTGAATCCAAAGGCCCATCGGTCACTCACAGCGTTGACAGCGATTAAATCCTTTTCTGTGGAGGTTGTATGGACAGTTTAAAGACAGTTTGAGAGAACAAACATATTGCATCTTTCCTCAAGGTTTGGTGACACTCTGATTTACAAATCTGGAGTCCGGGTCACCTCCAACAAAACTTGAGAAAAACAGAAAAGACAAAAGGCCAAACACAGCACCGAGTAACAAATGAAACTAAAGAGAATATGGGTTAATATGAAATTAATACAAGCTCAGCAATAAATGAGGCTGATAACACAGGGGAAAAAATGCATTAAAATAAAATGCTCAGTGGTCAAATGTTTGATGGATACAGCATGCGTTCCAGTCGTCTTCTGAGCCGCATCCTCCGTGTTTCTGCATCCTCTTTCGGTCTCTAGTTCTGTCCTGTGCCAGAAGAAAAGAAGAAAATACCTCCGACATCTCTGAGTTGTTGGCTTCTAGTAAGTAGACGGTCCTCCTCGGGTGCGGAATCCAACTGTATCGGGCGGCGGATCATTTTCTGTTATTGGCAGTGGGGGTCTTACTTCTTAATAATCTAATTTAATCATTTCTTAATACTCAGTGTGGAGTGTGTGTTTGGTAGAGAGGAGAAACTCACAGTAGAGCGTTTAACAGATACCTGTACAGGAGTTCGGCGCATGATGTCACAGAGGAATTTAGAACGCAGCAAAATCTCCTCATTTAAAAAACGCTCATTAATATTCAAACATAGCGCGATGTTGATTGGTTGATGAGAACAGAGCGATGTGCGCTGATGGAAAAAAAAACTTTATTCACTGTGTTCATCTTGCGAGTAAATACATAAAGCTGAGCGTTATACTGTTGAGTTAGTGTGATTTTGTTCTTGTTTATGTGGACGTTGCTGTCTAAAACCCTATATAGTTTAAAGGGGTCATATGATGCGATTTCAATTTTTCCTTTCTCTTTGCCATTCACTCTAGCTCTCGGATTCTGACATCCATGAATGCAGCAACTCTGATAGTGAAAAGTATGACAGTCTGAGTAATATATAAACCTGCACTCATGGCATAATACAGCTAAACATCCTATTGTGCAACCTTGCCACAAGAGTAGAACATCAGAATAAAATGTAAAATATGCAACAATGTACAGCATATGGAAATAATATTTAAAATAATAATATTAATAATAAGAATTAAATATTAATAATGCAAACCCCAGGTGGTGATGCGGTAAATCCTTTTCTGATGAGGTAGGTTATAGCAGGTATGGAGCAAGGACAGCCAAAATTCATTTCTGATTTTATTGTTGTTTTCGCTATCTTTCTGCAGCGTTTTGCTTGACAATGTTTTAAAAAGTTTTATTTTTGGCATTGGTCTGTTGGCGCGTTTCAAACGAGCAGCGCTCTTCCGATTGTGGTGCGTTTAAGAATCTGTTTACTTGAAAGTTTATGTTTTTATCTTAAAATAATTCATGAAAAAGCAGAAGTATTGAACTTATGAACTGTTAGAGTTACATGACGGCTTCCCATTGTCAGCTAAAGTCGGTTTTTAGTCGAGCTATTCTCGCGTTGGTTTGGCTCAGTGGTTACTTCCGATTTACGAGAAATCCCCGTCTCATGGCCACCGGGAAACCGGCGACCGGAGATCGAACCTCGGGCGCTGTCCAACGTTTTCATCTTTGATGCCTTGAGATTTTGCTCTTTAGTCAGTCAATGATTTTTAATCATTTTCATAGGCTATAGGGGTTCCGTATGAAACTTTAATCTCAGTATGTCTCGACGTCTTGCATTTTTAAGCCATGCTTACATTTTCATTTATTAATTTATAAAATTAAGACGTAAGACAGGTATTATTTTAATTGCCATTAACAAATACGAGTCTATTGATATTTATATCAGCATTTGAAAAAAGCAATACACAGTAGATTTAATTTCAATAGCTTCACTCCTCGTTGTTGTAACACCTGACATGAACAGCAGATGGCGCTCAAAGATCATTTTCGACGCTCCAAACATCCAAATATGACATTTTTTATTTTCCTTTTTTTAAGTTTCCCAGCTTTATTTATAAAATATCTTTCTGGCAGCCTATTTATAATGCTTCATTTAGAAGTTATCAATTTATCTTTAAATTGATATTAATTTACTGAGAAGATGAAATACTCCAAGGCACTCGTGTAATTAATTTATCTTTGCATGCAGTTTAATAGAGCTTGACGGAGTTTTCAAATAATAACAGGCAAAATGTGTAGATAAGACTGTTATTTGTAGTATTACACTTATTCAAAGAGAATGGATACCTGCTCCGTGTTTGACAGTTTTTTAAGTTACCTGGCATCTACTACTAAAATTTGTAGACTTTCTACACAACTTTTCCTTATTATAAAGCTGTAAAAACCACATGTCCATTATATGCCACACTAAGACAGTCAACGTCCATCGTATTGAAAGCTATGTTTTATGATATAAACGTCTGATATATGGCTGTGAGCCTTGATGGGTATTTTTGTTTTGTTGTGATTAGTTTTAGGCTTCTATCATCCTGATGCATCTATTAGGCCCGTCAGTCAAGCTGGAGGACAGACTGACACCTGCTGGTCACAACCTCGTAACGCAGGGCATTTCCTGTAAAAGAGCAACAGCTCACATGAATGTGAGGGAAACAGTAAGGATCTGATTGAGAAACCCGGTGTATGTTTAGTGTGATGACAGTCTCACCAGTGCAAATTCAGATCCGGACCGATCTCTCTGAGACCGACACAGGCAGTGCAGCACAGCGTCATGGATAGATGGGAAAAGGCGACTTTTTGAGATGGACTCTGAGAAGAATCCGCCTCGCTCCAACTGCTGCACTACACACACTACAGCCACACACATTGGGAGTGTGAGATAAGCTGCATTTGTTGAAGGTTGATTACACGATGGACTTTAGTTACAACATTGTCTTGATCTAGCATGCGAATGTTGGAATTAAGAGCGGATGTCTGATTTTACCCACCTCGGCATCCAGCGATGTAAACCGTGACATCAACCTCTGCAAAATCTTGAAAAATCTAGAAGCAGGTTTAAAAAAAAGTGCAGTAAATGTAAAACCATTTCCACTGCAAACCAATGCGTTTATGATTATTGTAATGAATTATAATAATGTGATAACAACTACCAGTTTATAATATCAAGCAGCATGCACTGTTTTAGTACAGCTAAAATAACTGGAAGCGAATGACACCGGAAGCCTCGCACATTCAAGTTACAAAGAAGGTGGGTACAAATGAATGTGACTTGGCTTACGTTTTTCAGTGTTTTTAGGGTGACCGTGTCGATGAAGCTGACGGGACTGAAGTCCAGGATGATGGAGTGTGTGTGTTCCTGCACACCATCACAGCTGGAGGAGTGTGTGTCTGTCTCGTCCCGATTCTCCTCCTCAGAGTCCTGCTCTGGCTGGAAGCTGCAGTTCATGTTACCGTGGGTTACTGTTGCTATGCCGCTGTCATTGATGATGCATTCCTGGTCCGTTCCGTGACAGTGCACAGATTCACTCGCATTCTTCATGGAGACCATCATTCTGTTCGCCAGCTCTCTCAGAACTCCAGTCTATGAACAACACACATAACCGCTTAATAAAATGGTAAACTTAACTAAATAATACCTTAAAGAGCTAAAACCACAGAAATGTTTCTGTAGGCCTATGTGTATGTGAGTGTGTGTGTGGTGGTGTTTTAAAAAAAATGTAATTATCTTATAAGTCCCATGCTTATTTGATGAAAAATACATAAAAAAAACAGTAATATTGTTAAATAGTATTACAATTTAAAATAACTGAATATAGGTTAAAATATAATTTATTCCTGTGATCAAAGCTGATTTGCTGCTCAAGAAACATTTCTTATTATTATCAATGTTGAAAACAGCTGTGATGATTAATATTGTTTCTTGAGCAGCAAATCAGCATATTAGACTGATTTCTGAAGGATCGTGTGACACTGAAGACTGGAGTAATGATGCTGAAAGTTCAGCTTTGATCACAGCAATTCATTACATTTGAACAGATATTCATAATATACAGTAAAAACAGTATTATTGTGAAATATTATTACACGATATATTTGATCAAATAAATGCAGCCTTGGAAAGCAGAAGAGACTTCTTTCAAAAAACATTTAAAAAACCTTAATGTTTCCAAACAACTTTGTGTATGTATATTTCATATGATATTTTCTATGACCGTTGCAATGTACTGTTTTGAACCAATGTAATGAACATAGTCAGGTAGGTTACCATGAGACATGACCCAAATTAGAGCGTGTATGTGAGTGTGTGTGTGTGGGTCAGGTTTTCCTACACTGTGGTGACCAAATTTTTCTACATGGATGGTAAAACCTGAAATCAGTTTTGGGGTCAGTGAGTTTTAAATGTTTTTTTTTAAAGAAAATGTTCTTATAAGTCCCGTGCTTATTTGATGAAAAATACATAAAAACAGTAATATTGTTAAATATTATTACAATTTAAAATAACTGTGAATATATGTTCAAATGTAATTTATTCCTGTGATCAAAGCTGAATTTTCAGCGGAATACTCCAGTCTTTATGTCACGGCTGGATAGAGAGGCATACACAGGAAGAATGATTCAGAGCTTCTTTATTTACACAAACTGAAGGAGAGCTTCAAACGGTAAGTTTTAAAACTGAAACATAACTTTAGCTCCTGAAACTGAAGAGTAACGGTCCTTATCTTAATCCTCTTTAGGAAGATCCAGCAAGACGACGGGAGACACAGAGCCACGGAGATCCAGAGGGCTGTGGAGAGGCATGAGGTAAGGTATGCAACCTTGAGACCAGTCAATGAGCTACTGAGGTGAGTGAACCGATATAGTGCACAAGTGACATCAGGTGTTCGTAATTAGTAATCTGGTGATTGTGAACGGGTGTAGGTGGCTGGTGTGGCTGATGTGGCTGGTGAATCTGTGACAGTATCCCCTCCCCCACGGGCGTCTCCTGGTGCCCGAGACCGACGGCGAGGACGACCACGCCCCCTAGGAGCGGGACGATCTGGGTGTGACTGGTGGAAGTCGGAGAGGAGTGACGGATACAGAATATCATCTTTGTCCACCCATGATCTCTCCTCGGGACCGTACCCCTCCCAATCCACGAAATACTGGAGCCGGCCGCCCTGCCGTCGGGAGTCTAGGATTTCTTTGACTCTGTAGATGGTATCGTTGGGGTCGACCTCGGGAGGAGGTGGTATCTCGTGCTCTGCAGAAGGAGGGAGAAGTGGATTAGTGAAAGGTTTTAGCAGAGACACATGGAAGGTGGGTGAGATGCAGTAGGTGTCTGGGAGTTAGAGCTCATATGTGACATCATTAATTTGCCTCGTGATAGGTAAAGGACCGACATAACGGGGACTCAGCTTCCTGCTGGTCAGCCGGAGACGAATATCCCGAGTGGAGAGCCAAACTCGGTCACCTGGTTGGTACACAGGCGTGGGTGCTCGACGGGCATCAGCATAGTCTTTATGTCTCCCTACTACCCACTGGAGATGGACATGTGCTGAGTCCCATACCCTCTCACGGAACCAGAAGTCAACCGCAGGGACTTCCGAGGGCTCTCCAGTCCAGGGGAAGAGTGGTGGTTGAAATCCGAGCACGCACTGGAATGGTGTTAATCCAGTCGTTTCCTGTCGCAACGAGTTCTGAGCGTATTCGGCCCAGGGAAGATACTGGCTCCAGCTGTCCTGGTGGTCGTGACAGTAGGCTCGGAGATACCGCCCGATCTCCTGGATCTTGCGTTCGGTCTGGCCGTTGGTTTGGGGATGATAACCTGAGGAAAGGCTGACAGACACTCCCAACAGACGGAAGAAACCACGCCAGACCCTAGATATGAACTGTGGCCCTCTATCTGAAACGTTATCTTCAGGGAGACCAAAGTGTCGAAAGACATGCTCGAAGAGAGCTTCAGCTGCCTCCAAAGCAGTGGGTAATCCACGTAAGGGGATTCATTTACAGGTCTAAATCCGCCACAGAATCTATCCACCACGACAAATATGGTAGTGAATCCGTTAGAGGGTGGAAGATCAGTGGCGAAATCGATTCCAATGTGGGACCAGGGTCGGCGTGGAACCGGTATGGGAACCAGTTTTCCTGCAGGTAAACGGCGTGGAGTGGATGTGATGGCGCAGACCGAACAACCCTTGACGTAACGGGCGACATCCTGAGCCATGCTGGGCCACCAGTATCTGTTCCGGAGGAGCGAGAGGGTTCGTTGGCTGCCTGGGTGACCTGATCCCGGAGAAGTGCGGATGGAGTCCAGAAGGGTGAGACGTAGAGTGGTAGGTATATACAATCTCCCTTCCGGACCTCCCGGCAGAGCGGGTTCTGTGAGAGTGGCGGCACGAATTTGGTCATTCACATCCCAGGTGATTGGACATGCGAACACTGTGGGTGAGAGCATGGGTTCCAGGTTATCTGGTGATGGATCTGGTTGGTGAAGTCGTGACAAGGCGTCTGCTTTGAGGTTCTTATGCCCAGGGCAGTAGGTTACGGTGACTTGGAAACGGGTGAAGAATAAGGCCCATCGGGCTTGTCGGGGATTGAGACATTTAGCTTCACGGAGGTATTGGAGGTTCTTGTGATCAGTTATGACTTTGAAGACTCACTCTTCCAGCGCGAGTTTGATGGCCAGTAACTCGCGGTTCCCGATGCCGTAGTTTTGCTCCGCCGGGGACATATTCTTGGAGAAGTACGCGCATGGATGAAGTACGGGGGGTTCACCCTTCCATTGGGATAATACTGCACCTACTCCTAGAGTGGAAGCATCCACTTCCACCACGAACTGGTGGTTCGGATCTGGATGGGTTAGGGCTGGAGTGGTGCAGAAAGAGGATTTGAGCTGCAGAAAGGCCTGTGTGGCTTGAGGCGTCCAGGAGAGGGTCTTTGGCTTCTGACGGAGGAGAGAGGTAAGTGGAGCCGACCGTTGACTATAATGGGCTATGAAGCGCCAATAGAAGTTCACAAATCCCAGGAATCTCTGCAACTCTTTGACCGTGGTGGGTTGTGGCCAATTCCTCACTGCTTCCACCTTGTTTTGGTCTATTTGTACTCCCTCTGGTGTGATTATGTAGCCCAAGAATTGAATGGTGGTTAAATAGAACTCACACTTTTCTTGTTTGAGGTAGAGGTGATGCTCGCGGAGACGTTGGAGTACCTGGGAAACATGCTGTTGGTGTTCCTTAAGATTGGGTGAGTAAATGAGAATGCCGTCGATGTAGATGATTACAAATTTGTTGAGCATATCACGGAAGATTTCATTCATGAAGTTTTGGAAGATGGATGGTGAGTTTAAAAGGCCATACGGCATAACCTGGTATTCGTAGTGCCCGGATGGTGTTATGAATGCAGTTTGCCATTCGTCTCCTTTTCGAATGCGGATAAGATTGTAGGCACTGCATAGATCGAGTTTCGTGAAGATCCGGGCACCACGGAGTTCCTCCAACGAGGCTGGTACCAGAGGGAGTGGATAGGAAAATTTGATGGTTTGGGAGTTGAGTGTTCGATAGTTGATACTAGGGCGTAGGCCCCCATCCTTCTTCGCCACAAAGAAGAAACTGGATGCTGCAGGAGTAGTGGAAGGACGGATGAACCCCTGATGTAATGCCTCCTTTATGTACTCCTCCATAGCAGCGCGCTCCGGGATCGATAAGGGACATGTCTATCCCCTAGGTCATTTGGCCCCAGGCAGCAGGTCGATCGCAGTCCCATGGCCGAGGAGGTGGAAGATGGGTTGCTGCGACCTTGCTGAACACATCCTGGAAAGCCCTGTAGGCGCCTGGAATGTGGACTGAGCTTTGTGAATCTGGGCTCTCAATAGTGGTAGAGCAGAGTGGTATGGAGAGCTTAGTTCGGCCTGGAAGAGGGACATCTGCTAAACATGTTCTGAAACAGGATTCACTCCACCGAAGTATTTCTCCAGAGTTCCACTGCATATCTGGATGATGTTTAGCCAGTCAGGGACGCCCCAGGATGATATCTACTGTAGCCTCCTCCAGCACCAGGAACGAAATCTGTTCAGCATGGAAGTTTCCGATGCGAAGAGTGACTTCCGGGGTGCGATGGCGCACCAACCCCTTGCTCAGCGGGGTTTTCCTT